CCCTTTTTGGCAAATTTCTGTGATAAAACCCCCCAGAAAATAAACCAAATTCCATACCTTGTTGTGAAGAGAGGTCTGCACTCGTTGTTTCTTTTTCTTTTTCCTTTTCTTTGTCTTTGTCTTTAGCATCTTTCTTCTTCTTGTCATCTTTCTTTTCATTATTATCCTTGAAAAGAAATAAGTGAAACTTTTGTTTAGATGCTGTAGGTCTTTGTGTAAAATGTTTTTGGTATCAAATGATGTAATAGGCCTGTATTCTCTTGTATATTAGCTAGGGTTATTCCATAATTAATCCTATGGGGGAGGTGGAAGGCACCTGTGTAATTATATTAGGGCTATTCCATAATTCATCGTATGGGGAAGGTGGAAGGCACCTGTGTAATTATATTAGGGCTACTCAATAATTCATCGTATGGTGGGAAGGTGGAAAGCACATGTGTAATTATATTAGGGCTATTCCATAATTTGATCGTATGGGGGAGGTAGAAGCCACCCGATGTGTAATTGTATTATGGGTGGTGGGTTAAAACCAGATCTGCCTACCATTTCTGGTATTAAATCCCTTTAATATTACTTGATGGTAGTCTCTGAAAATGTGCCTCCCAAAATGTGATGGTACCATTGGTAAATGACGATCAATGCCTACTCGCGTGTTAACAGGAAAGAAAGATTAAGTAAAACGCAATGATGGCATTTCATGGGAGGCAACATTTTTAAATGGCATCATTTAAAAAAACAACTTAATACCAGTAATAAATCGAAGTGCTCATCCCTTTGAAGTTTCATTTGAGATGTTTTCCTCAGTTTAACATTCTCTTTTGCTCTCTGTAATGAGGGCAAATTTTGCATTGCACCGAACATTATTAAATGATACAATGAACAAGTCCATAAAAAATGTGAAAGGCAAATAAACATTGGGCGAATAGGGATATTATTTTATTTGCGCAGGGCAAATGTTTCACGGCAAACTTTTCTCACTATACGATACATGACTGATTATGAAATAATGATGAATACTTGTCAATATATCTTGAAAGATTATTCTCACAAGAAACCAGCACTGACATATATATATATAGGCTATCATTCAAATGCAAAACACCAAACCCTTAATCCTGTATGAAGAAATATCTTTCATTCAGAAGAGTAGCAGACATACCTGATCTTTGGTCTCGTCGTGTTCAGAGCAGACATGCAGCAAATGTTGTATTTTTAATACATTTCCAGTACCTGGAATGAATGAAATAGTCAAGAGAGTTACTATATATGGAAAAATAAACAGCTTGGTTTCCACAAAAAAAATTGCATGCATTAAAATCATTTTCTAGCCTGTTCGAACCATTTTCCACATAAACATATATAAATACAATCTTTTCCAAAAAGTTTGATTTTTCAAAATAACTTTTCTTCCTTAAAAACTTCTAGCTAGATTACAAAGTCTTTAACTAACAAATCCAGAACTACAGACCAATGTATACATTTTGCAATTGTCCGAACAAGAACTACTGAATAATCAATGTACAAAAACAAGCAAGGCTAGAATGATGTTTTGGTTTAACACAATTTTGAAAGTACACATCACAACCCTATTGATCTGACAAGACAACAATTCGAGCGTGATCGTAACAGAGACAGAGAATTCATTGTACAGTTATAGACTACCTACCAGCGTAGGCACACACATCGACCAGCATACAAGCCATTGACTTGAGAGGCTCGGCAATCACTTCTAGAGCGACCAGTGTAGCCTCCACAGCATCCTGTTTACCTGTAATCACAATTCTTGTTTTAAACGACAGGTTGTATAATTAAAGCGTAATTTTAGATGAATTTTTAGATTAAAGTAACAATTAATTCAATTTGATAATTCTTAATTTTTATGAAAATTTGACAACTGGACCGGTAAACAATCAAAATCATCAAGAACGGAGTTGATATAAACCTTAACAAGTAAAGAATGAGATCAATTCCAATCTTACCTAGGTATGTAAGAGCAAGTCCCAGGGCCAGAAACTTTGAGTAAGTGTCCTTTAGGTCGGCTTCATTTCTTTCCATCATGGTTTGTATGATCGTTGAGGTAACGTCGCCATTACAGCTTCCCACAGATATCATACCACAGGCCAGGGCAGCCATCCCAACAACCTACACACAAAGATAGATATCATACCACAGGCCAGGGCAGCCATCTTTACAACCTATACACAAAGATAGGTTATACACAAACACAGATACA